TTATTGACTCGCTCCCGTTTGGGCGTGACAAGTGGGTGACTGGAGCGACAAACACCACTACAGCTGCCAACGCTGGGTACAACCTTTGGAACGTGGAACGTTCGCGCCCTCTATACTTTTAGAGAACTCCTGAAACCCACCGCCAGCAGATCAAACTGAAGGACGTGGTCTTTTTCTTCTGCCTTTTGGTCCCCACCCCTGACGATTGAAGCAGTCTGATGATGATGATTGAATTTCGGTAATGTGCCACTCATTATGCATCTCACCTATCTCTACAGAGTCATCGACTGTTACAAATGCCAACTTTGGCTTCCCGGTTTGGCAATTGCTTGCAATTCAAATGTTTGCCTTCAAATGTTATATCCGGATTAAAAGAGGTATATGACAATCGATGGTATCACTGTATTATCAACCAAAAATAAAAATCAGAAAAAATTATTTTTCCATATCGTAATATTTGTTAATTTCTGGATTAAAAGAGGTATATTAAAATTGACGGTATATCTGTATTATCAACCAATTATAAAATTGAGGCAGAGTAAACAATATAAAAACGAATCGAATCTACATTGACTTTTTAATCCGGGAAACCACTTTCGGTTTCGAACCAAGTGTATTTTAACATACACATATGGGAGGTTATCACAGCAGGACAAGCTTCAGTTACGACATTTAAAAAATTCACATCTCTCGTTGGGACCATTTGAAGTCTATACAAGCTAACGTTATTTTCGGTTTGGTTTGGTTTGGTATATACTGTTTTCCAGCATATTAATATATTTAATGCCGACAAGATTTTTAGGATAGGTTCTTATGAATAGAATGTATTCTTTGTACTAAATTAGTTTGTAAATCAGGTTTCATTGACGTATTTTTGTAAAGTATGTTCTCCAGAGACAAATGTATTGCTAGTAAAATCTTTTTATCAAAAACATATTGCTGGTATTTTTACTATAATTTTTTTTTTATAATTTCATAGTGTTTTGAAACACTTTAACTATTTTCCCATAGCTGGGACCCTAACAGATGCTACCAGCCCGAGTTAGAGTGAGCCTGAGAACAACAGCAATTAAGAGGTGGCCCCACGCTACGCAAAACTTCCCGATCAGAGGCCTTGCTGCTGGGTGTAGTGTATCGTTTGTTGTAGCATCCATAAGGTCGATAATGGGAATGTCCCCATTCACATAAATACAATAGTAAATACTGTATGTTGGTCTGCAGTTGGAGATTCGTTTCCAGATGTGCTGGTCAAACTCTCTGCCTCAGGGCAGAAAGGATCCCCTGACGAGTCTATGTCGTTTTACACGGGGTCTACGGGGAATTTTTGTGCTGGTCAAACTCTCTGCCGACGACTCTCTGTCTCCTTTTATACGGGGTCTAAGGGGAATTTTTGGCCGAACCTACGGGCTCAGGTACCCTACATTAAATTCGGCTTTGTGCCACATCTAAAAACGTGGGACGGTTGGTAGATATCCTGCAGTTGGAGATTTACTGTGAAATTCACTTGACTCACTTCTAGCAGGTGACTACTTCTTCTACGCGCCTCTGCCGAATCTTATATGTGTTGTTCTTATCCTAGGTATTATCGTTGATTACCAGCCATCGATTGACTATTCTATTCAGTAAACTTCCCTAGGTTGCAACATCGTTTATTTTCGTAAGAATTTTTCATCTTTTATATATATATATATATATATATATATATATATATATATATATATATATATATATATTATTCCAAAGATGACTTTCAGTACATTTGAGAGCTCAACGTATGATACAGAGCAAATTATAATAAATTTTATTTTTGGTATTGTTTCATCTTGCATTTTATTATCATCTTTTAACTCTTAATTTTTCTATTTCATATTTTTTTATTTTTGCATATCTGTCTGGCTGGATATATTGATTCCATTTCATAAAATGTAGTCGGTCTGATGAGCTGAATAGTCCTATTTTCATCGAAATAAATTTATTACCGACAATAGATTTTTAATGTCTTTTTTCATTATATATATATATATATATATATATATATATATATATATATAATGCACTCTTGTCTTCTTCAATGTATGAGGATCGAACAATTCAGCTCTTAGAAGTTAACAGTCAGACTACCCGCACATATTTTCATTTTGATTGTAATGGTGCCACGTAATTCAAAAAACAGCCCCATCTGTTTTTTTTTTGTTGTTTTTTTTTGTTTTGTTTTTGTTTTTTAGCGGCATTTCAACACCTCTATGAGTTATTTATTTAACGCTGAAATCTAAATATTTTACCCGCAATTTTATTTTATCTTTATTTTTTAGATAATAATGGTTTTAGTGATGCAAGTCTTACTAACTAATCCATAGCTGTGGAGAGAAGAGTTGTCTTCATACTTTTCTCAAGGCTATTTGCGCGTAAGCGAATTTAGCAAACCCAACTGGAATTTGAACTCGGATCTCCAGTTAACAATTCCGAACCATTAACCATTACACCACTCGCGCATCCAAGCTTACCGCACCTGGCGTTCACAAGCGGTCACCTATCTAGATACTGACTAGGCTCGACGTTGCTTAACTTCAGTGATCGTACGGGAAGCAGTGTTTCAATGCGATGTAGCCGTAACCCATAGATACTGGAATTACAAAAAAATGAATGCAGCGGAGAAATTAAATACACAAAAACGAGGAGCTATCGACGACTATATATGTTTTTCAAATCAAGATTTCTTCCCAGACAATAGAGTTGAACAAAACTCGCACTTGAAAGATTACAAACAAAAAACAAACAATATCGCTTATTTTATAAACAAATAACTATATATATATATATATTATATATATATATATATATATATATATATATATATATATATATATATATATATATATTCTGCTTTTTACCGGAAAATCCAGAAAGCGAAGAAGTCTTGGCTAATGTCAATTCAGGAATTATAAAAATTTACAATAAAAGCACAAACTATAAATATAGGTAAGCAATGAAAAAAAAAAATGTCCCACGTGACCCATATAACCTCAAAATCATGTTCAAGCTTGTCCATCACACTGTCATCTGAATGTCTCATGTCGCAGGAGAAAAAATGAGAAGTCAAAATAGCGGCAATTTTCTCACGCGGACAAAATGGACGGGGATTTGTCAATGGCCGGTAACTTTGATTGGCATAAAAAAAAGCCCGGGGATGAGATGTTGGACTCTGGTTTCACGATGAGTTATTGTGAGTGTTTGAGAGGTTCTTGGGTGGGTAGATGCAAAACCGGGAACGAGAAATGCTTAAAGGAAAGAAGAGAAAGGAAAATAGAAGCAAGAAAGAGAAAAAAAAAGGCCTAGAAGAGATAAATAGCATTGTCAAGTAGATTTCCAAATTCCATTCTCTGTGTAGACATAAATAAATAGATATAAAGGTATAAAAAAACATTCATGTGAATTGAAAAAATATGCATTAAATCTAGCAGAATAGTTAAATAAGGAACAAATAGGAAAATGTTTATAAATTTAACGTTATGCACTTGATAAAATAAGAAGAATCTGCAATGTTATAGGTCCTAATCTGACATCACAGTTTCAGTCACTTTCGAACCATCATAATATAGCTTCTTTTTACCTTCCCTATAAATACTTTCATAGTAATTGTTCTGATGAACTTCCCTCTAAGGCAGGCTTGTCAAACTTAGTGCATCTGGAGGGCCGCATCGGCCATATGTGCAGCTTCGAGGGCGGCAGATGCCTACAGTCTTGCATTAATCGCAGCTAGTGTTATCTAAACTTTAAATACAAAATAGTTACAATACAAGGTGGTACGATTTAATCATTTTTGTGTTGTCCAGATGAGTGACATCGCTTTAGACAAACTATTCTCGATATATCAGATTGGAATGTTTGTGTAGATCCAACTGTGATCAAAGATGACAAATGTTCATGTTAATCTGCTTCTGTGAGACAGTTTTGTGTCCTTCGTAGACGAAAATAACTGCTCACAGGCATATATGGAACCAAACATCGCCATAATCTATGTGACAAACTTTCTGATGTTCTTAAATTCCTGAGGAAGATATGAAAAAATCCGGGTACCCCCTACTTCTAGGTACTTTCTGCAAAATTTCTCGATATACCACGGCTATAGAAACCTTTATGAGGGCCGCCAAGATACATGCAAAAGTCCGTATGTGGCCCGCTGGACGCCAGTTTGACACTCCTGCTCTAAGGTACCTAGACTTCATGAATTTAAACACAGTACTAGAATGACAAGGTCTCACAATTTTATAGTTGAAAAGGTTAGATGTAATTTCTATGCTAACTGTTTCTTCTGTCGCACTTCTCGCATGTGGAACTCTCTTTCTGCTTCTTGCTTTCCAACTTTAGATCATCAAAATTTTTTTAAGGCATCATCAGTCCTTATCTACGTTCTTCTTAATTCTTGTTCTTTTAATATTTTCTCTCCTTAATAGTGTTTTTCTTTTTCTCATATTATCTCACGCCCAGTACACCGCCCTTGCGTCTTAGTGGCTTTGTTGCCTTGTTTGGGGGGAAATGACTAAAAAAAGTTTTAAGAATAGCTTTCTGAGGAAGAAACAATATACGCTCTTATTAGGAAGTTTTTTTTTTTTTTTTTTTTTTTTACCACCTTAAGTTCTATGTTAACAGTTTATTTTCTCGCACTTCCCGCCTGTGAAACTCCCTTTCATCTTCCTGCTTTTTAGCCAACTTTGATCGTTTTTTATTGTCTTCTTGATTCGTCTTCTTTTATTGTTCTCACTCCTTAATAATGTTTTTCTTCTTCTTATGCTTTCACATTCAGCAACCCCTTGTGTCTTAGTGGCTTTATTGCCTTGCTTGGAGTGAAATGATTAAAAAACACACGTTTCAAAAATATTTGTAAATCTGCAGATGGTCTAATGAATAGCGGCTAGCTATAAGAAATCGGGGTAGCCGAGTTCGAAATCCAGTCGGGTATGTTACATTCACTTAAGCGAAAATACCCTTGGGAAAGGTATAAATCCATCTCTTCTACCCCTATCCCAAGCTATGGTTTAAAAGAGGACTTGTATTTGAAAAAAAAAAATACTGTTACCTCCACACAAAAAATTTAATGCATTATTTACACTAAAAAAAAAAAAACAATATATTTCTTACAATCTGAAATATGTTTCGTCTTTAAATAACTCACGAAGCGCTGATAAGCCGTAAAAAATATAATCGCTTTTATTTTTAGTTCCATCAAAAAGAAATTTGGAAAACTCTTTCTTTTGTTTCGCTCCAAGAAAGGCGATAAAGCCACTAAATCACAAGCGTCTGAAATTGAAGGAAATTGAGAAAACTTTACTGAAGAGAAAAGACAATAAAAACAACAGGATTCAAGGAGACAAAATTGAGATCAAATTTACATTTTTAAAGATCGTAATTAACAAGAAAAGAAGGCGGAAATAGAATCCCGTAGGTAAGAAGTACGAGAGAAGAAACTATTAGCATAGAACTTACGGTTACACTTAGAAATTTTCTAAACAATTTCTGATGACGTTAAATTTATAAACTTTTTTACCAGTTGTTTCTTATTTAATCGTAAATACGTTAAGATATGATTATTTTCTATAAATGTCTTCTTTTGCACTTTGAATGATTATTTTCTGTAAATGTCTTCTTTTGCACTTTGGCAGTGAAATCCCTAGAAATGCCCACCAACTTTCCTCAAATCTTTATTGACTGTGTAATTAATAAACTGTCTTACCTTTTTGATGGCATATCCCTTCAAGAGAGAAGGTGATCATGGGGGCAATTATCTACCTTCCCGCAAAGATAGGATGTGACACCAAGTAATATTGAATGAGGTTTCCCATACGTGGACATATGAACCAATGACAAAATTGCATAATTCAAGCGAACACTGTCTGGGTAGTGTCGGTATTCCACAACCCCTTTGTCTTTAGTGCAATGATCACTAGAATCTTAGACAACTCAAGTCTAGGATTAACCATTATCTTCCCGACATATCCGCCTAAAAACTACCTCTTATTTTGTAACCCTCTATCTCGAGTGACTCTTGGGCCTTGTACACGGTGAACATCATAGTAAAAAATCTTAGCGATCGATTGATTTGTTTGAATGACACTTCTTCCATGTGCCATGTCACTTCTCGACCTGGGCTATCATGGCTCACCACAACTTCCTATCCATTGTAGCACGTTGTAACCTTTGTTTGATGTATCCCCCACCGTTCTGCCATCTATTCCCACAAGGTGATCAGGTAGATGGCCCGCTGCCGAACGCTTTCCATTTTGCTTTCGATATGTTCCTTGAGTCTCAAATTCTCCAAGCTCTCTTTCCTTCTTTTCTGCCTCTTTTACCTGTCTCCGTCTGATTCTGATTATAGGTGTCCTTTTTGTTTCCATTAAGACATTTTCGTTGGTTTCATAATGTCAGCATCCTTCTGTAGAACCAAATTTCTCTTCAAACAGTGAGGAGATTTTTCAGCATTACATCTACCGGCTGTACTGTTGTAACATACCTACATACGAAAATGGGCATGCCCCCGTTCCATAAATACAATAGTGAATACTGTACATGGGTCGAGAGTTGGAGATTCATAGTGGAATTCATTTGACTCACTTCTAGCAGTTGACTACCATTTCTACGCGCGGCTGGCGAATCTTATATGTGTTGTTCTTGTCCTAAGTATTATCGTTCATTATCAACCTTCGTTTGATTATTCTATTCAGTAACCTTCCCTCGATTACAACAACTTCTATATAGGAAGATTGATATTATATAACAGTTCATTACTCTTTTCTTCTTTCTAACAGCAGTTCTGTACTCTGTTCTTCTTTACTAATAAGAATGTAATTCATTGTAACAAATGAAACAAAAAATAAAGTCTATTTTCTGAGCAAGAAATCTACTAAAGTGTTGCTGTAAGTGGGACACAAAAATAAATATTTATTTTTCAACATAATCTCATTCCTTGTTAATGCACATGATTCAGTGTAGAATATTAATCATCAGTCAGTTATGTGCCATGCTTAGGCGATCATGTATCTTTCGATACATGACTCACGAGGCAGAACTTTCAGCAGTAGGTTGCCATTACTTTCTGCGGTAGACCAGTTGCCATCCAAGGCTAAAGAACCCAGTCTGTCCTGCTATTTTACCCATAGCTGGGGGAGAAGAAAAAGATTCATACCTTTCCCAAGAGTATTAGAACGTAAGTGAATGTAATGGATTCGACTGGAATTCGAACTCGACTCTCCGATTCCTCAATCCATTAATCCACCGTGCCTCCTCCCACCACCGTGCCTCCCCCCTACCGTGCCTCCTCCCCATATTAATCATACAGATCGAATATCATGCAATAAAAATTTCAAATGAAAATTTCAGCTAATAATTACGTGTAAGGCTACGAACTTCTTGATGCACCACTGCATGTAGGTATATCAATAAATTCACCGCCTAATGATGAAAAAATATTTATTTTTACTCACAAATATTTTTAATTTATTTGTTTAAACGTTCTACTCAAATCCATTAAAGATAACGTTTAATCAAATAAATGAAAAATATGCCGGATTTAATCCATTTCCTAAAAAATTGTCTTTGTTTACATTAGAATACGAA